GAATAACAGATTTTAAGGTCAAATAAGTTTGGGAAAAATTGTACTGTATACTCCACTTGGGAAATCATAATGTATATTAGCATATTGAATAATTATAGTAACAACCCTGTTTAACTCATTTTTCCTAAATATTTCCCAAGATTTTTTTTTTTTTTTTTGCCTAAAGGATTCTTGTTTTGAGGTAGTACTTCAGTTGTATGGGATGTGGTTTGGGAAACACTGAAACTAACTCAGAGAAATACTTGAATTTGTTTATCACTTTACTGAGGTTTAATTGAGATACAATATACTGCACATATTTAAAGTCTACACTTGCCCTGGCCAGTGTGGCTCAATTGGTTGAACATCGTCCTATGCACCTAAAGGTGGCTGATTCAGTTCCTGGTTAGGGCACATGCCCAGGTTGAAGGCTCCATCCCCTGTAAGGGGCGTGCAGGAGGCAGCTGATCAATGTTTCACTCTCATATCAATCAATGTTTCTCTCTCTCCCTCTCCCTTTTTATCTCTCTAAAAATCAATAAAAAAATCTTTAAATAAGTAAGTAAATAAAAATAAAGTCAACACTTTGGTCAGTTTTGATTTATATATTCATCAGTTAAATGACACCAAAATTAAAAAACAACAAATATTTCCATCACCCCTAATGTAATACATTTCTCTTACTCTCTTTTCCAGGCAACCACTGATCTGATTGCTGTCACCATAGCTTAGTTTGCATTTTCTAGAATTTCAAACCCTTGTTTTTAAAGATTTAAATTATAATCTTCCAATAATTTAAAATGAAACAACTGTAATTTCTTTAAAATAAAAGTACAGATATCTGACAGATTTGATGTTTATGATTATTGTTATATAGTCAAAATTTCACAGTAAAAATGGAAAACCCAAATCACTCTTTCAAAATTATATGGGATGATATATTGTAAATTTAAAAAGTTATTTAAAATGGAGAGCAGATGATTTTTTCCTGAATTTTAATCTGAAAAATATCATTACTCTAGTAAAAATTGAGAATTAACCAACTAGAACTTTATAGGGAAGCAGTTAGAGACAATAACTTTATTATCTAGCCATCCATTACTAAGATTAGCTTACTCAAAATCAAAGCCTCTTATAAATCATCTTAAAACAGAAGATTGACCTAAGCTAGTCTGTGGGCCTAGTCTTAGAATAATAATAATAAAAAAAAACCCAGCCCTGGCCGGTTTGGTTCAGCGGTTAGAGCGTCGGCCTGCGGTCCTGAGAGACCCGGGTTCGGTTTCTGCTAAGGGCACGTACCTCGGTTGCAGTTTGTCCCCGGCCCTGGTCGGTTGTGCGGGTGGCAGCTACTCGATGTGTTCCTTTCACATCGATGTTTCTCTCTCTCTCTCTGTTCCTCTCTCTCCCTCCCACTCTACCTGAACAAAAAGTGGAAAAATGTCCTCGGGTGAGGATTAAAAAAAAAAAAAAAACCCAGCCTTGGCAGGTTTGGCTCAGCAGTTAGAGAGTCAGCCTGCAGACTAAGGAGTTGTGGGTTCGATTCTGGTCAAGGGCATGGACCTCGGTTGGAGTTTAGCCCTGGCCGGGTTGAGCAGAAGGCAACCAGGTGATGTGGCTCTATCACATGTATGTTTCTCTCTCTCTCTCCTTCCTTCCCACTCTATGTGATGATAAAATAGAAAAATATCCTCGGGTAAGGAATAAAAAAAACATTGGCCTCTTCATATCTACTTCTTGCCCTCTGCAGTCAGTTGCCTGATAGGAAAAAATAAGTAGAGCATAAAAATACCTTTTTAAATTTTGTTAAAATAATAGTTGTATAATAAGGAAAGTAAATGATATAAAAACCACTGCATTTGATAATACTAATGTATTCAGCCAAAAGTATCACTAAAAATTTCTAGTTAATGATTTTTAAATATTTCATAGATTTTAAGTTGCTTAATAACTAGCAATTCTGAAAAATCTTCCTACAGAAAGCTTTTGATTTTCTGTACTAGGATGGAAAGTATAAATAATAAATGTTATTTATATTTTAATATAAATGAATATTTTAAAACTCTTATGTTTGAACCCAGCTGCTTTTTATGTTCTGGGTACGTACAGCGCTATTTAAAAAGAGTTTGTTTTGTAGATGAAATTCAATGTTCACTGAAGGAAAGTTACTGAATTATTTCTCATGGCTATTTTCGTGTTACCAATTAAAATAATAAAATGGTAAAGACTTTTTTCCAAAAATTTTAATATCCCATAAAAATCTAAATATGTATTAAAGGTATAGGGAATACATTGATTGCATAGATCAAAATATCAGCTGCTTTACTCTCGTAGATTGGTTTGGGAGTATAAAATGATGTAAGCTGCCTTGAAAAATAGGTAGGTAGTACCTCAAAAAACTAAGTAGTGTTACCATATGTATCTGCAATTCCATTCCTAGGTATTTACTCAAGAGAATTGAAAATATGTCCATGCAAAATTTTGTACAAATTATTAGCAGCATTATTTATAATAGCTAAAAGGTAGAAACAACCTAAATGACCATTGACTGATGAATGGATATACAAAATGTAGTATATACATACAATGAATATAAAAAGGAAAGATGTTCTGGTACATACTACGTCATGGATAAACCTTTAAAACTTTATTCTAAGAAGCCAGTTTAAAAAGATGACATAAATTGTATGATTCAGTTATTATGAAAATCCAGAATAGGCAAATCTATAGAAATGAAAATTAATGGTTTCTGGGGCTGGGGGAGAGGAAATAAGGAGTGACTGCTACTAAATACTGAGTTTTTGCTTAGTGGTGTTGGTTGCACAACTTTATGAAGTACTTAATAAGTTTTATAAATGTTTGAAGCCTTTTGTTTTCTAATCTTTGTAGTATTTGGGGAAGATTTTCTTCTCTTAATTTATCCTGTATGAATAGAGTCATCAGTGCCAGTTGCTAATTTTGTGTTTTGATTTATTCTCTTTAAAAATGTGGCACTATGACTGGCCAGTGTGGCTCAGTGGATTGTTGTCCGATGGACTGAGAGGTCCTGCTTCGACTCCCAGTCAGGGCACATGCCCAGATTGTGGGCTTGATCCCCAGTGAGGGGCATGCAGGAGGCAGCTGATCCAATGTATCTCTCACGTTGATGTTTCTATCTCTTTCTCCCTCCCTCTCTCTCTAAAAAAATCAATAAAAACATAAAAAAAAATGTCAGAATACAACAGTTGAGTATAGTATTTTTTTTTTAATTAAAGGCTTTTACAGTATGGTACTATCAGGAACACATTTTCAGACCTGAGCACTATGCCATTAGCCAGCTTTCTGGCTATCTTTGTGAAATATTCCTCTGAAGATAGCTCTTCTATCCACATTTCATGAGTAGGCTGCATTAGCTTTTGAATAGATATAAACCCAAAGTGAAAATGATTTCTTTGCAAAACATTTCCCCTCCTACAGAATTGTAACTAAAGCTTCTTTTAAGTCTTGTCTATAGAAATTTGAAAGAGCTAGTCGTGTCATAGACACATGGCTTGAACGGAATTGACTTTATTGGTGTAATCATCTTTAGGAGGAAACAACCAGAACTTTTTATAAAGCAATTAATTATTTGAATTATAGGAGCACTAACTTTCTGTTTATACTTCATACCATAACCCTTTAGGCAAAGTGGATCGCTTAAGAAAAGAATTCTCTGATACTTGGTGTTATCCTACTTTGATATCAAAATAACTCCTTATTCAGTTTTAAAATGCTGAAAATATTTTGAACTAGATGCTTTTAATGTATTTATGTCTTATTGGAATAAACTGCTTTTATTAATCTTATGGTACCATTAATAAAAATAAAAAGATTGTAAAATTATTCTAATTAGAGTTTTACAATGCTGGAAATTAAACCCATGTTTAATTAATTTTTATTTTTTCTATTTTTTTTCTTAACTAGGTCCTTTGTGATGTTGCTTGAGCTTATTCTTCTGCAGTTGATCTCATTCCTGTTGGCTAAATATTAAGTCCCATGACAACATTAAGTTAATGCTCATTTGTTTTAGGCCTCATTTATAGTTCCAGGAAAATACAGAAACAAACCTTACCTGTACATTAGATGACCTAATTCCTTTTTGTTCATTCTTAGAAACACCATAACTTCTATAAACAATCATTTTATAGTTATTGTCACACCCATGGCTTATTCTATACTAAAGAACATAGTTGAGTTTTTGGAAAGTATGAGATTTAAAAATTTGGTCTTGAATATTCACATACATCTATAAATATTACAGTTAATGAAGCAGGAAATTATTGCTACATAAGATGAATATTTGTTTTGAAAGAGTAATATTTCAAGTATAATTTTTTTTTAAAATTTGGTTAAATTTTTGGATTTTTCTATACTATAAGTAGATAATGGTTTCTTGAAGTTTATTTTATAAAGATGATTTGTTTTACTGTTTTATGGTACCAGTAGGATGCTAATATAAAATTGATGTGTTGAGTTATATAAATGTTTGTATTAGTATTTAAATAATGAAATATTGGACAGTTAGGTTTTGTAGTCCAGGGGTGAATGTTTCTGCTGGTTTGATACCTAATACAGTTTTCCAAAAAGAAGCAAATATGAATTTGCTGTGTTTTATCTTTTCTTCATGAACTACCCCTTAGTGTCAGAACCAAATTTAAAAGGAGCTTCATTGTGGAGCAAGAGAAATCAAAGCTTTTTTTGTGATAAATAAAAAAGACACAAAACAAGTAATATAGATAGCTAAGAAATAGCTATCCAAGAATGCATTTTAGTAAGATCTCTGAAGCATTGTCAATGAAAGAAATGTAATACTGACTGAAAAAACTGTCAGGATTTGCCATGCAGTGAATACTCACACAATCTTTACCAGTAATATAGTATTATCAGGATTTTGAGTGTTAGAACATTATGTTAAACTGTGATTATAGTTTTAATGCTTTGTCTATTTGAATTAAATTTGCATCCATAAAGATATGGAGCATAATTGTTCATGTATTTATTTACAGACTACAATTTCCGTCGCAGCTCAATAAATAGTCTTTCCCCTGTTAATGCTACCCTCACTTCTGGGACTCCCAGCGTGCTTCCTTATACTTCAAGGCCTTATTCTTATCCAAGCTATCCCTTGTCACCAACAATATCACTTGCTAGTGGCAGCCATGTTGGACAGCGACTGTATATCTCCAATCAGGCCTCATTCTTCTGAAGAAAATACTGTAAACATGAATATTAAAGTTTCTTTGTAAAGCATGCTAATTAAAACAGTGTTTTATTTTAGAATTGGGTTTGCACATTTGGTTTTAAAATGATAAATCTGTATTTATTTCAGCAAGCATCAACCATAATTCAGAATAATCCACAGTGGTAGAACTTGTAAAAATAAGTTTAAAAAATTACTCAGTGGTTTCTCTTGATAAAGGTATAACAAACTACTATTCTTTTTAAACTTTTGGTATATGAAACACTTCTAATTCCTGAGTGAGCAATAGAACCCAGTAGTATATGTTAAATTTTTGCGTAATTTTGCTACATAGCATTTCACAATATTAAAGCACTTGCAGACAATGGTTACACTGGATTCAATTACCAAGGATCACTATCTGTATTAGAGATTAGGGCAGTTATATAACCAGAAGCATCTAACTATTATGTAGAAAGAAATGAAGGGCAAAAAGATAAAGATGCAGATGTTACTCAGCACTAAAGAAAAAAGCAGTGTACCATTGTGGTCCTTGAAAATATAAGTATTTTAGTTAATTATTTGTTTTTGAAATAAATTATACTTTTGCTGTTAATGTATTGAAGGTTTTTATAGTTATGCTTCATTTATGTTTTTGATAGTCACTGTATAGTTGTTTGAGTAATGTGTTACTATTTTTAATGTTGAAATCATGTGTTGTTTAATTTTTGTACTTCAAAATCTTTGACATTAAATATGTGATGTTTCTAATATGCATGTGTTTTATTTTTTATTCACAAAAAATTTAGCCTTCACAATCAGCTGACTTTTTCTTGAGAACAGTTTCCCTTAGTGGGTATATAGCCACAGGCTCTGTGTCTTCAACAGACTAAAAGAAAGGATAATGCAGAAAATAGTTTTATGAAACATAGTAAAAAAAAAAAAAAAACTCTTCTTCAGAGGTCAGTGGAAATATTTTGTTGAACCCAATGAAGTTCCCCTTTTTACTTATGAGTAATTAATTCTGGTCTTTTGGTGTTGTTTAATATCTTAGTAGTGTATATATGTAATGAATTTCTATTGATAGTTTGAATAATCAATAGATATAAAAATCCACTGGTACTGGTATTAACTTTGTTGATCAACTAATTGTGTAGCTGTATGACATAGGATTTGCATTTTTATTTTTTTTTAAATTTTTTTGTTTTTTAGAGAGAGAGGGAGAGAGAGAAACATCGATGTCTAGGAGGGGAAAGGAGAAACATCTGTAACAAAAATAAATTAATAAAAATTGGAGGGAAAAAAAAACTATGTGAGAGAAACATAGATCAGCTACGCGACACCCCCCTACTGGGCATTGAGCCCACACCCTGGGCATGTGTCCTGACTGGGATCAAACCGAGACCTTTCAATCCACGGGACGATGCCCAATCCACTGAGCCACACTGGCCGGGCCAAATACTTAAATCTTTTGACCCAGAATTTCTAGTTCTGGGATATATTTGCATGTATATATATGAAATTATATATATAAAACATGTTTGTAACCCAGATACCTATTATTCAGGGACCTTGTAACAACTCAGAGAATATCTTCCCGAAGCTTCTTGAAGTATCTGTCTGATGATGAGCTTTTACCCCTGATGTTATCAGGGAAACTAGCAAAAGCAATGATGTTAAGCCTTTTATCTGTTTAATAGTAGACCTAAGGCTAAAAGGTGAGGCTAAGGGTGGTAATATAATATATAAATGTTATATATTGCCACAAAATAGAAAAAAAGTGAAACCAAAATTGGGAGAAGGGAGAGGGAAGAGAAAGGTAGAATAAGCTCTGTTTTCTAAATGATAGGTAGCAGTCAGAAGATGCCATTAATAACTGACAAACCAAATTGTAAAACCTCAGCTAAGAGAGCAGGGACTAAAAGCTTATAAAAGATAGCAGGAAAGGGGTAATAACCAGAGCAGAATTACAAACCTAAAATATAAAAACAAAAAGAGCAAAGAAAAGTCATTCTGTAGAGAAAACAACACTGTAAGTATAACAATACACACAGTAATTACATCCTAAAATAAGAAGATTGTTGTGAAAGGGCTTGCTTCAAATTGGCTCCAAAACAGATTCCAACTCTATGATCTGTGGAAGAGACAGACCCAAAACAAAGCGATCCAAAAAGGCAAAATAAAAGGGGATGGCAAATGTATAGCAGGCAAATGGAAATAAAAGGGCATATGTGCAACTCTATTTGTTGCAGCATAATTTGTGATTTTAAAATGCAGCAAACAACTGAAATGTTCATACATGGAAAGCTGGCTGGGTAAATGGCCAAGTTCACATCATGGAGTGTAATGCAACTGTGAGGAATGAGAAAGAACTCTAGTAAACTGATACGGGGTCAATTCCGGGATGACCAAATTACAAGAGTACGACATATGCTACATTTTATAGATGAAGAAATAGCCCCTCTGTGAACCAGTGATTTATATCTACACATGAATTCACTTTTTGTAAGCATCTCAGCCCCAGCTCCTGCTTAGACAAGACACAGTGTTACATAAAGTTGGAAAGAGTTATACCAAGAGACAAGCTTGCAAAGTCATTTCCTGGCCATGCCAGTCTCAGGCCAAAAAAGGCTCTTGCAAAGAAAACACCAGTGAAAGTCTCGGCTTCATTATTTCAGTGGTATAGAGGAATCATGACTAGCTGGAAAGTGGATCGTATTTATTGAACACATCCTGTGTGCTTGGTTCTAGAAAGATGGCTATGAATGTGGTCCTGAAGGAAATCACAATACTATAAAGAAAGTATGACGTGGTGTGGCTGGGAAAATTTAAAAAGCATATGGATACATGTTGACTGGAACTAGAATTCCAGGGTCATGTAGTAAAAACAGATTAGTCTGGTGTCTCTGCATATTTAAACCTTCACAATCACCTTCTACACTATGAGACTGACATTCTAACAAAAGCAATAAAAGCTATTCTTGGGAAAAATAAGAGCAGTAGGCTACAAGTCACCTTTCACTCTTAATTTGAGAATCTCATGTATTCAGTGTGTAGACCCCTTATATTTCTTCATTCAGCAGATATTTTATTCTATTTTTGCAATTAATGTTGGGTTTACAGTAATGAATATACATTGTTTCTCCTCCCTTGGAACTGATGTAACCAGGCTGTACTGACCAATATATAAAGCTCCTGGGTCAGCGATTTTCAGCTGGTATGCCACAAGAATTTTTAAAACATGCAGCACCTGACTACTTAGGGCACTAACCCCTTTTCCCTTAGATTGCCAAATGAAAAAAATGGCAGCAGCCAACACAATAGCTGTCCGGTGTGAATGAATCAAAATTATACCTATTCTTTTTTTGTCAGATCAGCAAAAAACATATTTTTTTGGTGTGCTGCAGAATTTTAGTAGTTTACATGTGCCATGAGGTGAAAAAAGGTCAAAAATCGCTGCTCTAGGTCAAAGCTTCTAGAGCACTTAATAACAGATCTTACTAAGAACCCTAAGTGTCCACATCAGAATCCAGTCCTCACTAAATAAGGTGAACATCAAGATTGCACAGAATCCTATATAGTATAAATGTTAAGTAAGGTAAGGCATCTCAGCTCCGCTTATGTAACTGCGTACTCTGTTATGAAAGGGCTCTTTAGCACATTCTTCAACGATAGTTATTGCTTTAAAAAGCAACATTCAGAGAACACTGGAGAGAGGAATGCAAATCAACTTGTTATTCACTGAAGGGTCTTGGACTTTTGAACTGGGTCCCTAGTTGTCTTATGCCAATTCCACTAGAATAGCTGCTCTCTGACCTTTTTAAGTTTTCCAATACAATCACTGAGGTGGTACACAGTGATTAATTATCTTGGGTGTCACATGAGTGATTCATCTGGATAATAGCTGTGTGAACTAGGAAAAATTGTTCTCTAAACAGAGAAGGGAGGTGCAACATTCCAAATATGCAAAGATGGCATTGTGAGACCACATAAAACGTGTGTTGAGATTTTCCTGTATTGAATCTCTTTCTGCTCGAAATATCCAGAATGGTTTCTGTTTCCTGTACTAAGTAGAGGAGCATGTCTTCGGTATGGGGCAGCCACCTGTGCTAAGTGGGTTACCTTCATTACTGAATATCTGAAAGTTTAATCATTGTGGAGAAGTGAGCTATCAGATTGAAACCTCTGTAGGTCAGTGTAGATGAAATGTCAAAATACATCTAGGGAAAAATGCTTAAAGTTTTGGAAAAGAAGTATCACTAGACCCTTACTTAATAGGACCCATCAAAACAAAATACCCAGTGCATGAACAAATAAAATGTTAAAAGTTTAATGCATAAACATGTGCACTCTCAAATGGGAGAGTAATAACAAAATGAACCTCAAATCATCACAGTGCTGTAGGAATCTCATCCATCTTCACCATTCCTGCTCTGTGATGAACAGAGACCCTATGGCTGGTTTTGTTTGAAGTGTATGGGAAGGAGAAAACAATGAGCATATCCTCTTCACCTAGATACCTAGATTTGTCAAAATGTGCTCAGGGGAATGTTCACAGTGGCCACTTCCTCCAAGCTGATGTTTTTCAGAATCCCTTTTCAGGCAGGGTCAATGTTTTCTCTCCAACAAAAATAATGACTGTTCCAGATGCATCCTTCCATAACAGTTTCTGGAATTACCTGTGTTTTTCTGCAGGGGGAAACATCCTGTAGTTTATGAGGAAAAAAATTAACACAACAATCAGCAATTTGGCTTAGTAAAGCTTGTGTTATTTTGAAAACAAAATTTGCAAATGTGTCTGTCTGATTTCCTATTTTTGTTGTTGTTATTAATCCTCACCCGAGGATATTTTCCCCCCACTGATTTTTAGATAGAGTGGAAGGGAGAGAGGAGGGAAAGAGAGAGAGAAACAGTGATGTGAGAGGCACATCTATTGGTTGCCTCCTGCATAGGCCCATCTGGGGCCAGGATAGAACCTGCAACCCAGGTGCATGTCCTTGACTGGGAGTCAAACCAGCAACCCTTTGGTACGAGGGCTGACGCTTTAACCACTGAGCCAAACCGACCAGGGCTTGATTTCTATATTTTTTGGAGGGGTGAAAGATAATTCTATCCTAATTTATTTTAAATAAAAAGGACTTTAAATGATTATGTATTATCTAAAGTAAAAGGGATAAGGGAAAGCAACTGAAAGGTCACTTTATACAGGGGAGAGGGTGATGTTTGAGAAAATAATTGGATAAAGCAGTACTGAGGTCCAGTGCCTGATCAAGCAGGAATATAAAGGTACAACCATTTTAACCCAATGAAGGATAAAACCGAGGGGTCATTTTAGCCTCAGAGTTTGCCATGGGGTTGGCTGAGGATAGAAGGCCTACATCACAGACCAACTTCTCCTTGCTACCTTTTCCTTTCTGCCATAGGTATCCATCCCAAGGGCACCCCTTAGTAAATATTCTGAACATGAAATACTACCTCAGAATCTACTTTCCAGAGAATTCTGCCTGTGACAGTTGGTGCCAAGACTTTGCAGAGTAAGCAGGTGACAAGGTAGAGTTTTGAAGATAGATCACCCAAAAACAAAGACCTCACTTTGATGCATGCAGTGCAGATGGCTCCAGTCGGTGCTCTGGTGGTTAGGACTTACACTAGTGTGGAAATGGAATGGTATGCTGGTGAAAGGGATACACCTGGTGGCAGTGTCTCAGGTATTGGGAAAGTAGGGAAACAATAGTAACTTTAAGAACAATGGAAGTGACATTAGAGGAGT